AAATGGAGTGCCGCCGCCGAAGCAAAAAACAAAAACAAAAAACTGAAATGCCGCCACTTCAAAAATGCCGCTCCCAAAGGGCCGGAATGCTGCCCCTTGAAAAGTGCCGCCCCAAGCACATGCTTGGAACGCTGGTGCCTAGAGCCGGCCCTGACCCCACCCCACCCCTGGCCTCACCCCTGCAGCACGCTGACCCCGCCCCCATTCCACCCCTTCCCCAAAGTCCCCTCCCTCTTACCACCCCCATTCCACCCCCTTCCCCCAAGTCCCCGCCACTGCCCCGCCTCTTCTCCGCCTCCTCCCCTGAGGGTGTCATGTCCCCACTCCTCCCCCCTCCCTCCTGAAAAGTCCTAAGCACCGCCAAACAGCTGTTTGGCGGCGAGAAGTGCTGGGAGGTAGGCAGAGGGCTGGGGACATGGCGTGCTCGGGGGCGGGGAGGAGGCGAGGTGGGGCGGGGGGTGAGGGGAGCTTGGCTGCCGGTGGGTGCAGAGCACCCACTAATTTTTCCCTGTGGGTGCTCCAGCCCCAGAGCACCCTCAGAGTCGGCGCCTATGTCAAGGACACCCAGAAAATGAGGAATACACAATTAGTGACCACCTGTTAAAAGTTTGCTTTAAGCATCTTGACTAACATCATATAGGAACTCTGTGGCAAAGGCAAGGACAAAAATCCATTTCTCCAAGGCAGCATTCATACCCACAAGACCATCCTTTCTTTTCCTGTTATCACCAGGCTCATTTAATACACACCTTCCAACTTCTGCAACAAATGAAGCATAGGGCCTACAGACAACATCTCCTTCACTACACAAGCCTGAGTTACACCCAGAGCAGATGCATCTTATACACTGAATGAGGCAGAGGTCTTGTGGAAAAAATAGAACACCTCTACCTTGATATAACGCGGCCCGATATAACACGAATTCGGATATAAAGTGGTAAAGCAGTGCTCCGGGGGGGTGGGGCTGCGCACTTCGGTGGATCAAAGCAAGTTCAATATAACGCGGTAAGATTCTTTGGCTCCCGAGGACAGCATTATATCGAGGTAGAGGTGTATAAGATCTTGTTAAAGACTATCATAAAGCATATGCAGAAGAGGGTCAAATAAAGGTTGCACAGGCAACCTTAGTTCTGGCATTTCCTAACTTTTGAGTGCTTGACATTGCAACCTTATAATGTTATCTTATTTAATTTCCTAGTTTTTTGAAAAAGCAAATTGAAAAAACAGAAATTCAATCATATGGGTCCATATTGACACCCATGGTCATCAGGGTTGGAACCTTTAGATCCACCACACAGATCTCTACTACTTAAGCTAATGGAGTAACTGATGGCAGTAGTATGTGGACCAGCACTAGACACACTTTGCCAATGAGTTTCACAGATATTTGCTGACAGCGGAGGAATGAGTAGACTCAGGAATCCTGAGTTCCATTCCAGGCTCTGGAGGGGTTAGACTTTTCTGTGCATTCCTCCCCAAGTGTGACCCTTCTGACTCATCCCCTCTAACTTGTCCTTGACACAGTCCTATTTTCCCCC